CTCAGAGTCAGTAAGAGGTATCAGCGGGAAGCCTCTCTGCACCACACTCACCAAGTTCTGTTTTTACTCCACAAATTCTGGCTCAAACTAGATGCATATGTTATATTTTAATAGAAATATGTTTTCTGTCTGTCAGGGAATGAATCTTTTAAATACTACATGTTTTTTTCTGTTTAGCCTTAACAGTACAAAGACTACACTACCAATTGGACTTAATACCATTGGACTGATTTGCTGGATTTGTCTCCAGTTTCTCTTTTGTCTCCTTTTTGTTTAGCCTATATCAGGTTTTTATTTAATTTGTGCTCCTTGTATTTAAAGTGGTACTCATGTTACTATCAAATACTGTGTTCACAGTAACATGTTTGTGGCTCTATGAACGTTAGATTGGATGAGTTCATGTTTTTATCTCCAGTCTGTTTTGATTTGATAGACACACTCTTACATTCACATGGTTGTAATGATGTATGTTTAGTTTTGATGCATATGTTTGGTGTGCGTTCAGTGTTTACAGCACAAACAGTTCTCCTCTGCATATTCGCTTTGATAGACACACTCTTACATTCACATGGTTGTAATGATGTATGTTTAGTTTTGATGCATATGTTTGGTGTGCGTTCAGTGTTTACAGCACAAACAGTTCTCCTCTGCGTATTCGCTTTGATAGACACACTCTTACATTCACATGGTTGTAATGATGTATGTTTAGTTTTGATGCATATGTTTGGTGTGCGTTCAGTGTTTACAGCACAAACAGTTCTCCTCTGCGTATTCGCTAACAGCCATTAAAATGTATCGTAAATGTTGTATATGTTAAAGCAGTGCTTTGATGCTGCAGTGCCCGAGGCTCTACTGTGCATCAGCAGAGACTGTTTATGGAACTCATTTGACCACATTTGCCAAACTTTGCAAATGTTTCCTGGGTGAAATACACTTCATATACGTTGTGAGCATTTTGAGTTTTTAATTTTTATGAGAAGAGTTGAAGAATAAAGTTTTACTGCTGATTCAAGGCATTGTCATGATAGTATTGATAGGATGATGAAATAGTGATTTAATCTGAACACTGTTAGTGTGATGTCTTACTGCCCAGCTGTCATGGTCTACTTAAAGAAGACAGGAACTGGGGCGCCCCATAGCCGCGTGGCACACCATGCAGCATGTTACAGTGCAATGTCCGACCACTGACATATGATGGCGGTCCTCCTCTATGTCTCCCTCGTTTCTGTCTGCCACTCTGAAACCTACTTCCCCCCCAAAATACTAAAAATAAAAGGGTGTAAGCCCCCAAAAATAATTAAAAAAGACCGACACTGATTGAAATTTAATGCATTTATCTGAGCTGGCTTCGGTTATCACAATGCATTCACAGTAATATGCACTTTTCTGATGCTTTTGCCTGGAGGTTTGCCACAGGCTGAGCTTGACCACGTTTTGTATCGTCATTTTGCATGTCTTTATTATTTGCATCTCTTTTTGCATGACTTTGTGGTCATTTTGAGTCTTTATAGTTTTTCTTTGGTTGATTTACTGTATGGTATTGTCATTTCAAGTCTTTGTAGCCTGTTGTGTCTCTTTGTAGTTTTCACTTTGGTCATTTGTGGTTATTTTTCCTCCTTATGCTAATTTCTAATTTTTATCATTAATTTTGCGTTGTTTTGTGTCTCCATGATTATTTTTCAACTTTGTGGTAATTTTTGTTTGACCTGTTTTGGTGATTGTTTAGCATCTCCTTTCATTTGTTTTTTTATTTTAAGTGAGCTATATGGCTGTCAGGCTAAAAAAATTTTTTACAGTCTATACCAGGACTCTGGCCCAGAAGAACCCTGGTCCTTTGCCTCAATGAGTCAGGAACATTTTATTTAAGAGTGAGTACTTTTACTTTGATACTTTAAATGCCTTTAGTTAAAGGTACTTTTACTGAAAGACTTTTCTATTACTTAAATATATATTGTATTGAAACTTACTGGGTAAAAGCTTTGAATACTTCTTACACCAATGAAAGGATGTTTGTTGCCATCGGTACACTTCTTTTTATTTATTTATTTATTTATTTTTATTAAGTCAAACCAAACAGACAAGCAATTACAAAGTCTAATACAAGTATTGAACAGTACAAAGACTGAGCAAGTTCAAAATTAACTAACATTATCCCAATAGAACAGGAAAGCCAAACGACACACACACAAAAAAAAACATCGGTATACTTCTTTCTAACACTGTTGTGTTTGCCGCACCAGGAATTGATTAAACACCCTGATTGGCTCTTTCTCTCTCACCAGACATCGTACATTTCCCACCATTGGATCGCTGATACGGCTCTGGCGCGTGGTTATGAGTCCTAAAATACGATTGGCCCGAAACCAGCCATGCTTGGTAGTACCGCATGTTGTGTGTGAGCTGTGATTGGACAGGAGGCCAAGTGCTACTACAGGGTGTAGACTGCGCTGTCATCGTCGTATATAAAAACACTTGTACCGGGCTGGGAACTCGTAATATCGAAGTATTACTTTTAATATCGTTTCACTTCATATACAGGTGAGAGGCTCGTTTTTCTCTCTGCGGCGACATGTTTTAACCCAGATTACAATAATCAGTGTGATTTTGTTTTTAACTGTTTAGTTTTAATATGTTATTTAACTGGGCTGTAGGTGTGTGTAATGATTATCTATGAAGTTCGAGTCAGGGTTTTAAGTTAGCTAGCGAATTCTAACAACAGCTGATATTCAGATATGTTAAGAAATAAGTCCGCTAACGTTAACTTTAAATTCGGCTAATGCTACGTTTTTGTATGTATGGCTGAAGGTGAGGTACGTTCCATGAGCTGGATAGGAAGCAGGTCCATCATCTGTTTGGTCCGGGTAGCTATTTTACCGGATGAAATCATATTTCTAACTCCGTATTACGACCCGTTAAATTCGTTTGCCTAAATGGGGATTTTACCTGTTGTTACCCTTTTTCTCTTTTCTGCAACAAAACAGTCTTTTCTTACTGACCGCTCAGGGTGACATTCTAACGGGATAAAGTTTTTGGCACCGGTCACAAACTATTTCCGTTGCGGGAAATGTTGCCCTTTCACCCAGTTTTACTCTCCCATATTTTTGTTTGATATCCGTCTCCCAAACTAAAACTTTATGTAGTTGGGTAGGTACGTGTAATTGGCAACAAAAAACAGCTAACATCTGGCAAATTTCACACTTAGTTAAAAGCCACATTAACTTAGCTAGCGTTAGCAAATTCACTGTTTATGCTTTTTGTTTAGCTAACGCTAGTAGCTTTGTATGCGTTTGCTGGTTGTTTTTGTTAGGCGGCCGCATGTGTTTGAGAACGTTATATAAACGTTCAGCAAAGCCGCCAGGTAGCAGTATCTCAGCCATCACAATAAATATCGCAGTGTTGCAGCTAACAGTAGTGCAACGATGTTAGTTAATGTCATGCTAGCTGGTCCGTGTTCTTAGTAACCTTTGCTGAACAGCTAACTTACAGCGATAACCTTGATTTCTAAAAGCAATGGTGCTTTTCTGTTTGATGTCCTACTAAGATGGCTGCTGCTTTGGTAAGGTTTAGCTATTACTTTAACTGTCTGGGTGGATGTAAATAGCAACAAGTATTCTTCGAGCAGCACAAGTAGCAATTACTTTAACCTGCTTACGTTATTACGTTGTCGGAGCCGCTGGCTTTGCATAGAAACGTTAGCTTTGAGGAGTGGCGAGTCTGTCTGTATCGTATGTGTATTAGGGTCAGCAAGGTTGTCCAACATGAGCAGTTGGGGGTGCATTGCAGGAACTTCAACTACTGTGTGTGGACATTTCAAAGTTGTAGTACTCAAATTCTACAATATATTTGTCAAATGACTTTAATGTTCAATATAAAAAGCATTCTCAACACATTCAGGATGCCAGGATCAGCAGCAATCAATTGCTTGGGATCATGGCCCAAAGATGTGGGTATCATTGCAATGGAACTGTACTTCCCGGCCCAGTATGTAGACCAGGCTGAGCTGGAACAGTTTGACGGAGTGCCTGCTGGGAAATACACGGTGGGCCTGGGCCAGGCTCGTATGGGCTTCTGCTCTGACCGTGAAGACATTAACTCTCTGTGCCTGACGGTGGTCCAGAGGCTGATGGAGAGGAATGGCCTGTCCTACGACAGCGTGGGTCGACTGGAGGTCGGCACTGAGACCATTATTGACAAGTCTAAGTCTGTCAAGACAGTCATTATGCAGCTGTTTGAGGACTCTGGTAATACAGACGTGGAGGGCGTTGACACCACAAATGCCTGCTATGGTGGCACAGCTGCACTCTTCAATGCTGTCAACTGGGTAGAGTCCAGCTCATGGGATGGTGAGTCAACAGACTGGTGCTAATATATGTTAAGAACTGCAACCAGTAATTCTTCTTGATACTAAATGAATTTTTTTTTTTACGCAAAAATATTCTGCTTACTTTAATGTACAACAAAGAAATTCACCAAATACTTAAAGTTTTAGAGAATGGATCTGTACATTTTTATAAAAATGAGTCTTGCTGTTTCCCTTGTCCTGATGCATACTCTCTGCAGGGCGTTGTGCTTTGGTTGTAGCAGGGGACATTGCTGTCTATGCCACAGGAAGTGCACGGCCTACGGGGGGTGCTGGTGCAGTGGCCATGCTGATCGGCCCGAATGCTCCTCTGGCCTTTGAACGAGGTCAGTTAGCTGATAACTGTTTGTTTGTTGTGCTCAGTTTGTCAGGTTGCACTCTTTAATGACTGACTTTTAAATAACTGATCCTATTACTCTGTCCTCCAAATTTTGACTTATTAACTGTTTTACCAGGTCACTGATGTCTGTTTCACTACTTGGCACAGAAATAAATATTGTCAGACACTGTGTTTGTTTTTACAAACAGTTGAGTGTTTTCTGTGTGCTTTGGTTCCATGAGCTGTTGTATGTGTATATTAGGTGCTGAACTGTACATCTGAATACCAGGAACTAGCTCAGTTCTTTATTACTGCAGTACTTTCAGAGTGAACCTAAATTCAATTTGTGAAAAGATGTTTTGAAATTCAGCCACTTTAGTGTGGACAGTGCGTTCATGAACCATGAGTGTGTTGTTTAACTGCTGTGGTGCAGGTCTGCGAGGAACCCACATGCAGCATGCATACGACTTCTACAAGCCAGACATGATGTCAGAGTACCCTGTGGTGGATGGCAAGCTTTCGATAGAATGCTACCTCAGTGCCTTGGACCGCTGCTACTCTGTGTATCGCAACAAGATCCATGCACAATGGCAAAGAGGTGGGTTTAAATGGATCCTCCAGTATTTTAAACTGCTCCATGTAGGCCTATTCTCTAGGGATATGATTTCACGGCATTTGTCCCAATATTGTTACTCTGGCTGAAATGTCAAGCCGTCAATCACATGTCACAATGAGCCGGCTCTGTTGGAAGGTGGAGCTCGGTCCCACTTGGCACTGGGTAGAGGCAGGGCCGACTGAGCCTGTGCCAGCACGATTACCCCCCCCTTAGAAACGCATTGAAACGGAGACCAACATGTCCCTGCAACACTCCACACGATAAAGCAGGCTGGTTTGTGCTGATGGCAAACCCCAAAACACACCATACTGCTATATACAGTGGGTACGGAAAGTATTCAGACCCCCTTAAATTTTTCACTCTTTGTTATATTGCAGCCATATGCTAAAAGCATTTAAGTTAATTGTTTTCCTCATTAATGTACACACAGCACCCCATATTGACAGAAAAACACAGAATTTGACATTTTTGCAGATTTATTAAAAAAGAAAAACTGAAATATCACATGGTCATAAGTATTCAGACCCTTTGCTCAGTATTTAGTAGAAGCACCCTTTTGAGCTAATACAGCCATGAGTCTTTTTGGGAATGATGCAACAAGTTTTTCACACCTGCATTTGGGGATACTCTGCCATTCCTCCTTGCAGATCCTCTCCAGTTCTGTCAGGTTGGATGGTAAACATTGGTTGACATTTTCAGGTCTCTCCAGAGATGCTAAATTGGGTTTAAGCCAGGGCTCTGGCTGGGCCATTCAAGAACAGTCACGGAGTTGTTGTGAAGCCACTCCTTCGTTATTTTAGCTGTGTGCTTAGGGTCATTGTCTTGTTGGAAGGTGAACCTTCGGCCCAGCCTGAGGTCCTGAGCACTCTGGAGAAGGTTTTCGTCCAGGATATCCCTGTACTTGGCCGCATTCATCCTTCCCTCGAGTGCAACCAGTCATCCTGTCCCTGCAGCTGAAAAACACCCCCATAGCATGATGCTGCCACCACCATGCTTCACTGTTGGGACTGTATTGGACAGGTGATGAGCAGTGCCTGGTTTTCTCCACACATACCACTTAGAATTAAGGCCAAAAAGTTCTATCTTGGTCTCATCAAACCAGAGAATCTTATTTCTCACCATCTTGGAGTCCTTCAGGTGTTTTTTAGCAAACTCCATGCGGACTTTCATGTGTCTTGCACTGAGGAGAGGCTTCCGTCGGGCCACTCTGCCATAAAGCCCCGACTGGTGGAGGGCTGCAGTGATGGTTGACTTTCTACAACTTTCTCCCATCTCCCGACTGCATCTCTGGAGCTCAGCCACAGTCATCTTTGGGTCCTTCTGTACCTCTCTCACCAAGGCTCTTCTCCCCCGATAGCTCAGTTTGGCCGGACGGCCAGCTCTAGGAAGGGTTCTGAGCGTCCCAAACATCTTCCATTTAAGGATTATGGAGGCCACTGTGCTCTTAGGAACCTTAAGTGCAGCAGAAATTTTTTT